TCTCCCTGTAGCCCTAGCTGGCCTGGAACTTGCTATGTGGACCAGGCTAGCCTGGAACTCACAGAGATCTGCCTGCCTCTATCTCCTGAGTGCTGGGATTAAAGGCAAGTGCCACCATGCCTGGCTTTTTAAAAATAAAATAAATCTTTAAAATATCTTATTTTTATTTTATGTGTATGAGTGTATTGCCTGCATGTATATAAGTGCACCTATGTTGTGCAATGCCCACAGAGACCAGAAGAGAGCACTGGATCCCCTGAAACTGGAGTTACAGATGGTTGTTAGCTGCCATGTGGCTGTTGGGAACTGAACCTAGGTCCTCTGTAAGAGCAGCCAGTGCTCTTAACTGCTGAAGCATCTCTCCAGCCCCCCACCCCCACAATGAATCCTAAAAATATCTGAACACCTGTCATGGTGGCACACAACTTTAATCCCAGCACTCAGGAGGCAGAGGGAGGTAGATCTCTGTGAGACTGAGGCCAACCTGTCTACATACTGAGTTCCAGGAGGGCTGAGGCTAGGGTAGCCTGTCAAAACAAAACAAACTAAAAATGCACACCCCCCCCGACTATCTGAGAAATGGTAGTCATGTAGGAACATAAAAATTAAAGAATGAAACAGAGGATGACATGTCCAATTGATGATGTGAAAATGCCAAAGAGAAAAAGGACCATTAACCACGACTTCTAGAGGGATGGAGAGTTAGTTGATACTGAGAGACTGGCTTAGAAATTGGAGAAGTAACCAAAGTCAAGGAGAAATCTCATCTTTCTCAAGCCTTGCTAACCAAAGTGTAGCCCACATATCAGCAGCACTGGCATCATCTGGGAGCCAATCCTACACCTGCACTTTTTACTAAGATCCCCATGTGACTTGCACATAAGGAGCATTGTCTTAAACATCCTGTGACCGCATCAGTAGGGCTTTGAGTGGAAGGGAAGGTGAGGGTTTCAGTATGGAAGTTACTAAGAACACTTTTTCTCCTTCACCACTTGGCATTAATGTTTGCTGAGAAAAACATGGAAAAAAGACGTCATGCAGAGTGAATAAGATGGATCTACCAAATCCAGCTTGTCTGCACTCTGCCTCCCACAGTGAAATGCCACACGGTGTGTGGGAGAAGCAAGCGAGCACTTCCCTGCCTCTCACTGTTCCAACTCCCACCTTCTATAGGCTTTGGCAGGATGTGGCAAACCTTTGCCCCTTACTCACTGCTCACTTTCTGGGCTTGGATTCATGCATCATTCCTCCCTTGCTGCTTTGCTCATCTAAGGCCAAAATTCTGGGACAGGATGTACTGGACTAAGGAGATATTTCAAACAGTACCACAATCTGGGCAATGATTCTCTACGTGACAGACTGGGGAACACTCCCCTGGGAGAGCATGTCAGAGGTGCTCGTATGGTTTGAAAGAGCCCCTCTAGAGCTTCTGATTCCCCCTTTCCCATACCCACCAGGCCAGGCTTCCTCATATGGAGGACCACTGCTTTATAAAGCATCGCTAAGGATGGGTCCAGAGCAGGTACAGGTGCAGGTGAACTGAGTAGACACATACTTTCTGTTGCTGGAAGTTCTTTGGACTTCTGGTGATAGGACAGTTGTAGGGAGTACAAGGAGACCACCATGGGAATTCCTAAGCAATGCCACAACAACTAGAGTAGAGGGAATCTTGAAGAGCAAGATAGGCCCTAAAGAAACAAACCACGGATATTAGAGGACAGTAAAGAATGAGCTTGCGAAAGGATCCACCAACAGCCTCACAAGAGAGCTACACAGGTCCCCCTTGCTTTTCTGCCACAGTGGCTTCCAGCTAGTTTTTGGTTTTGTTCATAATGAGATAACCAATGATATGGTGGTGTTGGTGATGTAACTATAGTCCATATATAGCATCATTACACCCACTCCCATGAAACCTCCAAGTGTTCTCAGCACCTAAGTCCTATGGGGGATTATCTTGTCTGAGGATTTGTCATCAAGGCTACTGTGTGTTGCCAGGTGAGGATCAGCCTGCTGGCCTGCCTAGCCCAGTCCAGCCAGCTGCTGCTGTCCCTCAGAACCAGAGTTAAGGATTCCTTCCTCTCATAGCTGAGGAGATAGATGTCCAGAGATGCGAACTGAGTTGTCTAATGTCACCCACAAGTCAGAATTCAAACCTCCTTCTTCTAGGTCCAGTGCTTTTTTTACCTCCGTGGTAATTCACTTAGTTATCACAGTAAAGAGTAGGGCCCTACACATGCCAGAACTCTGTCATTAGAGGGAAATTCACAGTGGTTCAAAGAAGAGAGCAGACTGAAAACAAAAAGCTTCTGAGGAAACTTTAAAAAATATTTTTAAAAATTCATTGGGTGTGTGTGTGTGTGTGTGAGACAGACAGAGAGAGAGAGAGAGAGAGAGAGAGAGAGAGAGAGAGAGAGAGAGAGAGAGAGAGAGAGAGAGAGAGAGAGAGAAACTCTTCCCATCATGTAGGTCTCAGGTATTGAACTCAGATTTTTAGGCTTGGCAGCAAAGTGCCTTTACCTGCTGAGCCATCTTGCTAGCCCCATTTTCTTTTCTGAGGAAGAGTCTCTCTTGTTATTTCTTCTGTTGTAATTCTTACATGAGCTTTCAGCCATTTCCCCCATCTTGCCCTAAGAAAGCTTATGCTGGGAGTACAGATCATCATGTAGGTCTCAGGTATTGAACTCAGATTTTTAGGCTTGGCAGCAAAGTGCCTTTACCTGCTGAGCCATCTTGCTAGCCCCATTTTCTTTTCTGAGGAAGAGTCTCTCTTGTTATTTCTTCTGTTGTAATTCTTACATGAGCTTTCAGCCATTTCCCCCATCTTGCCCTAAGAAAGCTTATGCTGGGAGTACAGATGCGAGTGGGATGTAACTCAGGTCATCAGGGTTGTGTGGCAAGTGCTTTTACTCACTGAGCTATCTCATCATTCCACTCCCTGATTTTTTGGTCTTTTTGAGACAGGGTCTCCCTGTAGCCCCAGCTGGCCTGGAACTCACTATGTAGACCAGGCTTACAGAGATCTTCATGCCTCTGCCTCTGGAGTGCTAGGATTAAAGATGTTTGCCACCAGACTTGGCCTGTCCTTAGTGAGGCTTTAACATACTTCCACTTTTTGTTTTAATGCTAGTGTCCTAAACTGACAGGAGTGTGAAGCAGGAGAGAATGAGCCAAGCAAAAGCCTCTGGCTCCTCATGGTGTCAGCTTGGCGTGCTGCTTTCTGAGGCCAGGGGATGGGGATGAAGCCACATCTGGCCAGAGTTAAAGGTTCTGAGCTCTGGAAATACTGGATGCTTCTGAAGTTTCTTCCATTAGAGTTCTGGTTCTACTTTTCCTGAATAGTTTTTTTTTACGTACATTTTATTTTAAAGGATTAGTTGGTTTTATTCTGAGAACAAGTACAACACACCCTGGATTTTTTCTAGGCTCCTGAGATTATGTTATTCAACAGGTTCTTTATTCTGGCTTCCTCTACTCTTTACTCTCCTTTCCTGACTATTATGTTTAGTATCCCTCCAAACAAGACTGCAATCTATTTGGAGTCTAGCTTCCTCAGTGCTTGGATTACTGGCTTAGAAACTATGTTTTATTTACCTTTAATATTCTTCTAGAGTGCCTATATATCCTCTGCCTGGCTTATCCATCCATCTGTCCATCCTTCCATCATCCCTCCATCAATCATCTATCCATTTACCCATCCATCCATCCATTTACCCATCTATCCATCCATTTATTCATCCATCCATTCATCTATTCATCATCTGTCCATCCATCCATCCATCCATCCATCCATCCATCCATCCATCCGTCCATCCGTCCATCCACCTATCCAGTTCTGATCCTTACATGGCCAGGTACTTCACAGGGGCTAGGAATGATACATGGGAGCACAGAACAGGCTTCCTCCTCTCATGAAGTTTATGTTTTGGGGGAAGGAGAGACAGATGGCAATATGAAACAAAATAATAATGCTGACAACTCATAGTTTCTGAGTGTACACTGTGCCCCACACTATGCTGTTTCACACAACTCTCTCATTTAACCTGCAAACAACTCTACAAGGTAACTACAATGTTTGTCTCATTTTAATAGATCAGGAAACTGAGTGCTTAGAGATATTGTTTGCCCTGTCTCAAATCTAAAGTACATTCTAAGATTTGAAGCCAAGAGTTTCTGATTTTTTAGCCCAGGGGTTGGCAAGTAGGGCCCACTATCATTCTACTGAAATAGAATTGTACTGGAACACCGCTTTCCTCATTTGTGTATGTACTGTCTATGGCTGCATTCATACTGCAATGACAGAACTGAGTAGTTGTGACAGAGGCCATATGATCCAAAAAGCCCCAAATACTTTCTGTCCCTTTATAGAAAGACTTGGCAATTCACCTTAGCCTAATCAAGGCTCAAATAATATTCACTGAAAGAATACATGACTGGATGACTACACGCATTGATGTGCATGCTCACTCATTCTATTAAATTCTTTTGAACATCTGCCATGTGCCAGACACTGCTTCCTGGTAAAGCAGGCCTGTGTTTGCAGTTTCACTTGGTTTCCTTCTGGCACTTGATCTTTCAAAGAGTTCATACACCTGCAATCCCTGGTAAAAGCTAAATCTGCCTAATCCCCCATTTTCTTGGCCTTGTTGCCAGCCTAGACAAGAAAATCTATTTAGTACTTTAAAAAATGACAAAAGAAATTAATCAGGATTTGGAAACTAAATTTATCTTCTGGGAAGAATCCAAGAGATAAATTGAAGCACAGTCCTTTACTCTACAGTTCATCCCCTCCTCTTAGCCTGACTCTATAGGAATGCCTGAGATGGCAGTGAAATTTAGGAGCAAGATTGCCAGAAAAAAACCACACTGACAGCTAAATTAGTTTGGCAGCAAAATGGGATGAAGGGCTCAAAGCCAGGAATGAATTATGGGTACTAAGTGAGGTTGGGGCAGGTACCCACACTCTTAAGATCTGTAGGAATATGAATGAAAAACGCAGAGCTAATTCCTTGGCTTTACAGAATGTTCCAGGGAGGGGGAAAAACTGCAAATAAGGCCAGGCACCCTGTGGCTCATACTGCCGACAATGCTGGGCAATTACACACTGGGGAGAAAAGGCTGGCGAGGTAGAGAGTGAGGGGAAATTGTCTGGGATGGCTAGTGTGTGCGCATACAGATGGCAGAGGAATTTGTACACTTGCCCCGTCCTTGAAGTCTGCTGACTTGGCAAGAGGCCTGGTCATGGTCCTGATGCTGCGTTACCAAGGACCATGTAGTCAATATAGCAGAAGACACCCTGAGCCTTTGCTCAATGAAAGGTTCCTGCAGGGGGTTATATCAAGAAATCTAAGACCCTACAGTGGGCATGGCGAAACACACCTGTATTTTTAGAACTAGAGGTTCAGGATCAGCTTAGGCTATATAAGGAGACATTATGTCAAAAAAATCAAAACCAAAATGAAGACTTGCCTAGATTCATGATCCACAGAATTTATGATACATACAATTCATATGATAATGTTTTATTGATATATTTATATATTTGTTTTTTGAGATATAGAATTTCCTATGTAGCTGAGGATGACTCCTGATCTTTTGGCCTTCACTTCCCAAGGACTGGGATTACAGGGTTGAGCCACCACATCTAGCTTTAAATGTTAATTTTTTTTTTTACAAAGAAGAAGGAGGATGCCAGGCGTGGTGTGCACACCTTTAATCTCAGCATTGGGAGGCAGAGGGCAGTGGATCTTTGTGAGTTCAAGGCCAGCCTGGTCTACATAGCGAGTTTCAGGACAGCTGGGGCTACAGGGAGACCCTGTCTCAAAAGACAACAAAAAAAAAAAAAAAAAAAAAAAAAAAAAAAAAAAAAAAAAAAAAAAAAAAAAAAAGAGGAGAGGGAGAAAAAGAATGTATACATGTACATATATGCTCACAGACACATATACACACATGAAGAAATAAAATAAATCTTAAAAGCAAACAAAAATGAAGTGAGTAAATGGGTTAATTCAACAATTTGAAGTAGACATTAGTATCTCCATTTTATAAATGAGCTGTCTGAAGGTCAGAGAGGTTAAATAATATAGCTAAGAAGTAGCACAAGTTCAACTTGAACTCCCAGGTCTATGTAACTTCTTGGGTAGCAGGGTCTCTATGTTAATATAATATAGTGACATTTGATTTAGAAAATTGGATTGAGAGCTCTGAAGAGCAAGGAAAACCATCAGAAAATTCTGTCTGAGGGCAGCTCCCCGAGTTGTTAGACCAATCCCTTTCAGCCCCTCCATGAGTCTACTGATGTAGAAATCAGGCTGCATAGTGTTAGGAGGGGAGGGCTGGCTTTCAACAAAAATGTGTCAACTTTGCCCTGATGTGTGGACAGGAGTGGACAGAGGTCTGCCCTGACACTGGCACTTTAAGCAGAGAGAGAGTGGCTGAGGGCTAAGGTAAATACTTTAGAGGTTGTGAATGCGGCTAGTGCTTTGACAAAACTCTGTTTAAGTGGTTAAACACAGTAGTTCTGTCTCCACTGACCTGCCTGAAGCCACAGGGCTGTTCTCTAATATGGTTGGAGTCTCTCTACTTCCATGATGAGCAAAGCCCACAGCCCTCACCTATACCCACTGTCCTTCATGGGTACCCAATGCTCTGAGCATGTGGACGAAGCAGGCTTCTGGGTCTTGACTCCACCAGAAGATTGCCCTCAACCCACCATGAAGGAACTCTCCTGTCCTCTTCCTTGCTTTCTCTAAACTATTTCCTGTTTGGTGTCTTCTTTTCCTATTTCCTGATTTCCCTTCTGAGAGAAACTTTTGTCCCTTTCAAGGCTTTATGGAGCAACAGTCTATGTGATGGCAGACATCTCTTTACAGACTTTGCCCTCTCCAAGGTAGTAGGGAGGGGATTAGAGTTGGCAGTGCCATTTCTTCCCCAGCTCTAGGACTCTCTGGCATTTATGTTTTCAATTATGGCCCCACCTGCTACAAGCAAACATCAGGGTTTGGCTTATGTCAAAATAAGGGATCCCAGTTACAGCGTCTAAATCTCTGAGGTGAAAGAGTGAATCTGGCTCAGGTGCACAAAGCCTTGGGAAGCTGGGAAACTCCTATTCACTCACCCTCTTGCAGGGTGGCTGTGAGCAGAGGTTCTTTTTCTTCCTCCAGTGGTGGTGCAGTAAGTAGGACTCATAAAGTGCCTAAGTCAAACACAATTCCCATAATAGTTTTTCATGGACTTGCTCCAACAATAAACCGGGGTTACGTGTTGAATTTAGAATCTCAGGGTCTCCCATCCTGCCTTCCCTTGTCATTCCTTGGTATTTTCCAGGTTCATGTATTGGGTCACTGGAGTCTGTTTTCAATCCAGAAAATTAGCAACAACACAACTTTCTCCAAAAACATCCATAGAGCCATATCATAGGTAAGAGAAAACTGTCTTTGATCAATTTGTTACTTCCAATCCCTTGCAGAGTGAGCAGTTAGAGATGAAGTATTCATACTGCATAAAACAGCTAAGCACTTCCAAATCCAAGGATCTGAGAGATCATTGTCTCCCTTTCCTCCCTCCCTCCCTCCCTCCACAGATCACATTGGCTTAGAGACAGTGTTCAACCTCACCTGGTTATTTCTTCTTTCAGGGCAGCAGGGTCTGCAGGGTAAAATTTCACACGGAAACACATGGTGAATGGAGGCTGGGCTGCAGAGAAAAAGGTGCCTGTTAGGAGAGTCTTTCTCCAGAATATGTCTGGGCTCCCCTTCCCATGGCATGCTCCTGAACCATAAGAAAAAGAATGCTCTTGTGGTTAGGGACACCTTATGCTAGAACAGTGGAAAATTACATGTGTAAATCAAGACTTACTGCCTTTGGGGGGGGGGATTCATCCCATCCTCCCAAGGGTCATGCTTAGCTGTTTCGTGGAGAATACTTACATCTCAGTTGCTTCACCACAGACTTTGTAAACTCCAACCAGTGCTGAAACAGAGAACATGGGTCATGAAAACTCTAATGAGAAGCAGTGTCATGTGGAACCTGTTTTATCCAATTTGAGTAGCAAAACAGATTACAATCTGCCTGGAGAAAAAGCATCCCAAAAGCTTGTGAGATACAGGTTTGGAGAGTAAAGTGATATGATTTTCTGAAAAAAGCTCCCCATGGCCCAACTGTAAAGAGGAAATTGTTCCAGCTTCAGATACCATTTCTGGGTGTCCTAAAGGTACCAAAGCTTTGAGCCCTATTCCTGGCATGCCAATAGGCATGAATAACTATCAATACCCCTGGCATGAGTAGGGAGCTGCTGAGCTTAATGTGTGGTGTACATTGGGTTATATACTGGCTTCTTTGGGCAGAGGAATGAGGTAGATGTCAATGGTAGCAACTCTTTTTTTTTTTTATTAATAAATTTTTTGGTCTTTTTGAGACTGGGTTTCCCTGTAGCCACAGCTGACCTGGATTCCCTACGGAGACCAGACTGGCCTCGAACTCACAGAGATCTACCTGCCTCTGCCTCCCGGGTGCTGGGAATAAAGGCATGAGCCACTACAACTGTCTTGGTGGCAACTCTTTTAAAATATTTTATTTATTATTATTTTTTTATTTTATGTGTATGAGTGTATTGCCTGCATGTATGTGTGTGCACCTGTGCATGCAATGCGGTAGAGGTCAGAAGAGGGCTTCAGATGCCCCTGGAGCTGGAGTTAAGGACAGTTTGTAGCTGCCATGTGGGTGCTGGGAATTGAACCCAGGTCCTCTGCAAGAGCAGTCAGTGCTCTTAACCGCTGAGCCATCTCTCCAGCCCCTGTTGGTGGCAACTCTTAAAAAGCACTGACAGGAAGAGATTTCAGAAATGGAGAAACAGCAGAGATGGCTGGTATGTATTTTCATTTCTGTTTGAATAACATGGATCACCAGCCCTTGTGTAAGAGAACACATACTCAGGATTCCTTGGCATACTGGGATGTTTAAAGCCTTAGTATCTTAAGATAATTATCCTGGGGGCTGAGAGAGGGCTCAGCAGTTAAGAGTACTGGCTGCTCTTGCAGAGGATCCAGGTTTGGTACCCCAGTATCCACATGGCAGTTAACCATCCATAACTCCAGTTTCAGGGGATCCAATGCCCTCTTCTGATTTCTGCAGGCATTGCACAACATGGGTGCCTTTACACACATTCAGGCAATACAAAATGCACAAATAGTAATAAATAAAATATTAAAAAATAAAATGTAAAAATTAGCAGTAACCAATGTGAAAGATGGTATCCTATTTCCCATGGATTTTCATAGTTAGGACCTAATAGCAATGCATTTTTTATTTCCCCTCATGATACTTAAGTGTGGGGAGGCAATGAGATTATTCTAATCTCTCTCTCTCTCTCTCTCTCTCTCTCTCTCTTTCTTTCTCAATTCTCTCTAAGATTTGTTTTTATTTTTATTTCTGTGTGGGTCTATGAGTATATGCACATGTAGGAAGGTGCCTGTGTAGGCCAGAAGAGACTGTTTGAGTCCCTGTGAGCTGAAGTTACATGTGGTTGCTAGCCACCCAACATGAGTGCTGAGAACTGAACTTGGGTCTTCTAGAAGAGCAGTATATACTCTTAACCGCTGAGCCATCTCTTCAGTCCCAGGTCATTCTAGATCTGTTTCTGATATCTCTATGGATTCTTTATAAAATTCATTATTGGTTTGGTGCTTTACCTTAAGCAGGTAACTTGCTAATTTGAGAGAGCTAAAACGGCTATTATTTGGAATTTGATTACCTGGAAATAGATTAAAGTCACTAGATGTAAGTTTCCTGAGGACAGGAAGCTGACTTATTTAACAGGGAATCACTAGGGCCTAGCACATGTTCAACAAACACACAGTCATAGAAAGGGACTCGGTCTACATTTCCCTTTTTCCAGGCTACTTCCATTTAGTGTAGTGTCTTGGCAGAGATCTCCCTCTGCAGGAAAGCAGCCAAGGCCATGCAAACAGCATTCTGGCCTCCTTCAATTTCCAGCTCTCACCTTCTGGGCTGGGCTGTGGGTCATGTAGTTAATGGACCCACTTAAGAGCCAGTTCTTCCGTCAGCTCCACATGGATAATCCGGGTTGACATTCTGTTCCTTTGCTTCCTCTGATCTGAGATCCCACGAGGCTGGCAACTCATTATAGCCACTCAGCGTGGTTAAGAGGTCCTTCTCACATTACATGGCCCACCTTGGCTCTGCTTCACAGGGAAGCAAAGGCAAGAGGTACAATTGCACAGAAACAACTGGGGCTCCAGGCTTTGCCTGGGAAGGCACAGGAGGCCTATCTGTTCAAAGTACATCAGAATTGTGTACAGTAAAGGCAATACAGTAAGTGTCAGAGGCTCAGAAAACAGAACACCTTTAGACTGATAGAGTAAGAGAAATAAAGGAAGATAGAAATGAGATGCATGATCAGTAGAGGGCAGATGGACACCGCCCCCCCACCGTCCCACCCCCCACACCAGTAGCAGGGAGAAGGCTTTAGTCTGGACTGTGGTGAGAGCTCAGGAAAGGATGGAGGCTGGAAGAGGTCAGGAAGGAGCTGTGAAGGAGTGGAAAGCTGCCACAGCTTGTCTGAGGGATGACAGGGATCTAGAAGGGAAATCTCAAGAGAATCCCAAGAATACGGTGATGGCATCTGCAGCTGCCTGGCTAAGTCTGGGTCCCAGAATCACTAGGAAACTGATAACATGAGCCTGGGTCAAGGGGAGAAGGGAATGGGCCAAAGTGGCATAATCTTCAGGCTCTGGGGCTTGAAAGAGTACAGAAAAGATCTGAAAGGACAGAGGTCCTGAGAGTGGCAGGGAGAGGTGTGAGGTAGCTCCTTTAGGAGAAACAGGGCTGGGGAGGTACAGTGGGCCAGATACATGGAGACCCCCAATGAGCAAGCAGTGATGGTCAATGAGAGAGCTGGTGGAGACTACCTTGGAGCCAGGGGAGGAGGCTTGCCTTACACCCTGGGGGGAATGGGGAGCTCACTTCCTGTATTTTTTCTACCTTGAATTAGTAGATTTAGGATAACTCTTCATCACAGGTCATTTACGACCCTCCAGACTCTCTCAAGTCTCTGTTCTACAAGCTCCTTTCTGAGGCTCAGAATCAACCTGCTCTCAGACTACCAAGTATGATTTCGTCATGGCACATCAGAAACTATACAGACAACTGTGAAGCCCAGCAGCTCTGAGCCCAAGACTAGCCTTGTCACTTACCTTGGTTGGGTGAGTTACTTAACCTGTCTGAGACCTGATCTACTCATCTGATTCTCTCACTGGCTTTAAGGGCTGCATGAAATAATACATGTGAAGTTCTTGGTTTACTGCCAGACATAACTCAGTGCTCAGTCTCCATCAGCCACAGAGTCAGGTGTGCTCACAGCAGAGCTCAGCACACAGCAGACTCTCCATAAAGGGTTATGCCTCCTCTTTCCCATTTCCTTCTTGCGTGCTCATTTTCCTTTAATCTTGATCATCTCCACATAAATTTTTTTCTTCTCAAGCATATTACGACCTTTTTATTTCATACCTCATCAGCTCTGGAGGGTATGGTGTATGTGGCCTTCTTCAAGGAGAGAAAGCTCAGGCCAAACAAACACTGCCTGGAAAAAAGAAGACTACCACTTTCTAGTGAATGAGCATCTAGAGCAGAGAGGACAAGAGCCTCCTGCGGTTAAGCCACATTGTGGCTTCATACTAAGTCCAGAGCTAAGGGAGCGTGTCAACAGAGTGGACCCTTATGGACCAAACACTGATGCTGTTCAAAGGTTTGCTAGGCAGGAGGGATGAAGTATGTTCATGAAGAGTGGGGGCAGGGCTAGCCAGAGGAAAGAGACATGGTCCTTCAGATTCTTTCTAAAAGCTCACATGTTTAGTACAGAACCCTAGATATAACTTGTAGGACAAGGCCTCAGATCACCAAAGAACAAATAGCATAGTGGCAAGGTGAAGGGCATCTCCATTCAGTATCTGTGACTCTGGGCAGTGCTAGGGGGCTGGGCTCTGCAGAGCTCCAAGGCCCCTAATGATGGCAGAGACAGTCCTGTTTGGAGCTGTGAAGGAAATCCTCCACCCAAGAAAGGAGGCTCTGTAGGATTTGTGATGGTTTTGGAGAGTGGCAGGTGAGCATGGGTGGTGAGCAGTATACAGCAGTATACGTATACAGTGCCTGTATACGTCTGCATAGTTTTCCACCTCATAGGGATGCCAAAAATCACATTCCTGCAGCCAGCAAAGGGAAGATGAACCAAAGCTGCAGATACTTCAGGTCAGGTGCCTGTGGGCTAGGCAGATGAAGATGAGCATCAAGGAAATCATTAACCCATTCATTTCCCCATTCCTCCAGCAAATACTTACTGAACATCAACTGCATTTTGGGCCCTGCACTGGTTCCATGGGAGATGGTGATGGATAGTTCATGCCCTCATGAAATGTCAAGTTTTGCAGGGAACACAAGTTATCACAGCATGGTGAAAGAAGTACTGTGATGGGTAGGTAGCAGAGGTCAGCAGGGGCCAGAGGAGGACCCCAAACAAGCAGCAGGGTTTAGGAAGACTTCTGGAGGAAGTAAAAGCCTAAGGTAAGATCTCAAGATGAACGAAGGTAGCTTTAGGATTGGAGAGATGCTTCAGTGGTTAAGAGTGCTTGCTGCTCTTCCAGAGGACCCCAGTTTGGTTCTGAGCACCCACATCTAGTGGCTCACAACTGCCTGTAACTCCAGTTCCAGGGGATCAGACTCATTCTTCTGGTTTCTGAGGACACCATCATGCACACATGGTACATACACACACAGAGAAACACACATACACATTAAAAAAACCAAAATCTTTAAAAAAAGGAGGTAGTGAGGAGAAAAACATAGAGCACGGAGAGTAGGGTAAGGAGAGGCAAGTTTCAGGCAGGCGAGCTGCGCGATGGAAGGCTCTGAAAAGGAGACCATGGTGTGTCTGCAGAGAAGACAGGTCAGAGGAGGTAAAGCTGGAGACGAAGCAGGGCTGAAGAATAATGGACTTGTTCCTGATGAAATATCAGTCCTGTCAAGGCCCGCTGTCTGAAGAGCTACCTCTGTTGTATAGAACAGAGCAAGAACTACTGGTGTTACAAGGTCCTGAAGGGCCCAAGTCATTTTGGCTCCCTCTGTCCTTCACAGATTAGGTTGGCATGGCTCAATGAGGTTCTCCCTAGCCAGAATCAGATGGGCCGAAATGTGGTTCAGCCCATTTACTAGAAAGGAAGCAAGAGATGTTCACTATGCCTCCAGTGGACACTGGACAAATTGCTTCAGCTCTTGAGGATGCCTTTTTGGCATGTGTAAAATGTCAGGTTTCTTTAGCCAAGTTCTAGTTCTAGCTTTAATGCCATGATTTGACGTGATGAAATCAACTACAGGGTCTGGTTGGTCCCTGATTCCTAAGGTCCCCGACTCTGAATGAGTCACAAACAACCCAGGGATTCAGGCCTATTGACTAGCCTCTGCTCCACTGCTACTTTGAATTTTGACTTACCCGCTGCTTATCTGGGTCCACAAAGCGAATCCCGAAGTAGTCTTTCTCAAGCAGGTTCAGGTGGTGGCAAAGGAGGTCAAACAGGTACTGGCCTTTGGCATCTCTCTGCAAAGAAAGTAAACGTCCTTGAGAAATGTGTACTCTTCAGAGTGACATGTATGTGGTATAAGTGGTATATGTGTGTGTATGTATATAAGAGAGTGCATGTGTGCATGTGGAGACCAGAGGTTGATGTCAAGTACCTTCCTCAATCTCCACCTTATTTTTTGAAAAGGGTCTCTTGCTAAACCTGGAGCTCACAATTTAGCTAGGCTGGCTGGCTGGCAAGCCCTTTCAGCACTGCCATGCCTGACTTTTGACTTTTTTAAAAAATAATTATAAAAAACTTGGGGACTGGAGAGATGGCTCAGCAGTTAAGAAAACTGGGTGCTCTTACAGAGGACCTGGATTTGGTTCCCAGCACCCATATGGTAGCTTATAACCATTTGTCTGTAACTCCAGTTCCAGGGGATCATCTCCTGGCTCTGTGGGAATTGCACACATGGGTGCACCATATTCATGCAGGCAAAACACTCATACACATAAAAATTATGTAAAAGCTGGGCGTGGTGGCACATGCCTTTTATCCCAGCACTTGGGAGGCAGAGGCAGGCGGATCTCTGTGAGTTCAAGGCCAGTCTGGTCTACAAAGTGAGTTCCAGGCCAGCTGGGGCTACAGGAGGCCCTGTCTCAAAAAGACAAAAAAAATTATATAAAAAACTATGCATTGCATGTGGAGATGAAGGGGGCACATGCCCATGATTGCCCTCCACAGTGTGATGTCTTACACTGATGTCTGGAATTTTGAGGCTTTTAGCACCCAGAAAGAACTCACTCAACAACTCTTCCCACCACAGAGATGCTAGAGGATTCAGAGAAGTCAGTTAAACCAGGCTCCACTGAGTGAGACACAAGCCTCTCCCACACTAGTGGGGTATGGAATGTCAGTATAGAGCATAGTGGTGGCTACACCAAGCCCAGCTGGCTCTGCCTCCACTGCTCTCCATCCCATTACTAACTCCACAGGCCAAGCCACCACCATCTTGCAACTGGACTATTGCCAGAGCCTTCTAGTGGACTCACTGTTTCCACTCTTGCCTGCTTAGTCCTTCTCCACACGGTAACCAGAACAATTACAACTTAGAGGTAATGCCTTTTATTGCTGAATAAGTAATACAACCACAGTGTAAGCTATTCAAATGTACAAAAAGAATATGCTATGAAGAATGAATCTCTCTTCTATCCTTGCCTTTCCCCTGATGCTCTTCTTCCTAACAGCAACCTGTAAACAGATTGTTATGCAATATTCTATACACAGGCAAACCTGTAGGCATGGATGTCTCCTTCTTCAAAAATACATTAAAATTTTTATTACATATTTATTGTGTGTGTGTGTGTGTGTGTGTGTGTGTGTGTGTGTGCATGCCACACATGTGGAGGCCTGAGGACAACTTCTGGGAGTCAGTTCTCTTATTCCACCATGTGGGATGCAGGGACTGAATTCAAATCATCAGGCTTGGTAGCAAGCACCTTTATCTGCTGAGCCATCTCACTGGCCCTTAAACATGTCTCCCTAGTATTGGGGAGCCAGGGGCTCACATGTGTTAAGCAAGTGCTCTACTTCTGAGCTACATCCTCAACCTCTACAATTTTATATTATATTGTTTCTTGTTATATTTTGTCTGCCACTGAAATGCCTTGCAAATCTTTCTATAGTATATACATAAAGCTATGCCTCAGAGTTGAAAACTATTATACATCAGTCTAAGGAACGTAAAGCTATTTACCCAGGTCCACATTAATGGAATCTCTTCCTAATCTACTACAAGTAATGTGGCAGTGATCTTTAATTACACTACTCCTGTTTAACACCAACAGTGTCTTCCCATTCTCTCAGAATAAACTCTGGTTGTGGCCTGATGTCCTGTGTGGCCCAGCTCCTGGCTTCTCTTGGAACTCATCCCAAATCATTCTCCTCCCTTCACCTGGCCTCAGCCTTTTGCTCCTGAACATGCTAAGGCCTTTCTGCATCTTCGCATTCCCCCTTTCTGGAATGCAATTCCTGCAGCTCCTCCCAGTCTCCTATTCTGAGGTCTTAGCTCCAATGTCTCACTACAGAGGTCATCCCCTACCAAATGGCTCTCCTCCCTAACTTTCCATCTCATTTTTCTGTTTATCTTCTTCATAACACTTATAACATTCAGCTTGTTGACTTGTTTCTTTGTTTCTCTCTCATCTGCTTCCTTCTTTTGGACGAGGCCTCACACAAAGCAGGCGGGACTTTGACAGTATTTGTTGAATATATTAGTAAATGACTAGAAGGCAGGGTGGCTGAAGGGTTACAATAAACGTTAAGCCATGAGGCTGTTCATTACTCCTGGCTTCTACTTCAGGGGCCTGCTTAGGTGTCCAGGATGAATTGTGAGGAGAATGACTTGCAGGGAACTGTCAGAACATCTGGAGCCCTGCAAAGTTTCCATCTCCAGAGGCCTATTCCCAGTTGTCTCTGCAGCTCAGCTCAGATGATGACCTCTAGTGAGTCCATGTAAAACTTTGTATCCAATTTGATTTTGGAGTTGTTTTTTTTTTTTTTTTTTTGAGAAAGGGTCTCCCTGTAGCCACAGCTGGAACTCACTATATAGACCAGGCTAGCCTCAATATCACAGAGATCCACCTGCCTCTGCTTCCTGAGTGCTGGGATTAAAGGCATGCACCACCATACCCAGCCTATATCCAATCTGAGGTTGTCTTATAAGATCCAAATACCTTCCTGGTGAAATGGTCATAGTCTATGGGTAACCCCATAGACTTCAACCATAGACACATTTTTAAGACCTTCATGAAAGGTTTATACCTCACCTTTTCCTCTTTTACTGATTCTCCTATGTGATTTAAGAACTTGGGCAGAATACTAAATCTTTCAGCTAATATCTTAAGGAGTTCATGCTTCAGAGGCCAAAAGATGAGGGACCTCTCAGTTAAAGGCGGAGGTGATGAGAAGGTGCCTCCCCTTCCTCTTCTTTTGGTTACACACTCCTTCTTACACATATTCTTGAAGCAGCAGCCCCAATCCACACTCTTTGGTCTCCCAACAGAAAGAGCCATACTGAAGACTGGGACTAGGAGCCATCTTGGGACTTCTGACAGCTGAGTCACAAACCAGGTCTCTCATAGCACTCCATCAGCATCAACTGTTGTTTGAAGGCAGGGCCTATCAACGCCTTCCTTACTGATGCCTCTGAGTGTGACATGAGTTTAAACTCCTATGTAGAGTTCTCTGAGAGCAAAGGAAAGATGTTCAACTCTGTCCCATGCAGCAGCTCCTACAGTTTCCTTCAGAGCAACAGTTGCATAGGGTGGTATTTTTTCTCTGCAGACTTTATTTGTACCATGCTGGTTACTACACAGTGATCAGCTAGCATTGTAATTTAATGGCGGAAGAAGCTCAATTCCAAACACACAGCAACCTGGGATAGAGACAGGGATGGAAACAGGCAAGAGGCAAATGCGCTGCTGTCATGGAAATCATACACCTTTGCTACATAGTGAATTCAGGGACAGCCTGGGCTACATGAGATCCTGTCTCCAAAAATAAAAAAAGGCTGGTGAGATGGCTTAGCAGGCAGAAAAAGACGCTTGCTGCCTGACAACCTGAGTTTGATCTCTGGAACCCACATAAAGTGGAAGGAGAGAACTGACTGCACAAGGTTGTCCTCTGACACCCACATGCAAGCTGTGGTATGCAACACCCCCCCATTACATCTCTCTCTCTCTCTCTCTCTCTCTCTCTCTCTCTCCCTACACATCTCTCTCTCTCTCTCTCTCTCTCTCTCTCTCTCTCACACACACACACACACACACACACAAATTAAATAGAATAAAATGAAATAAATTTTGGGCTGGTAAGATGGCTCAGCAGGTAAAGGCAATTGCCACCAGGCCTGATGACTTAAGTTCAATTTTTTAGGAACCACATGGTGGAAAGTAAGAACCAAATCCTCCAAGTTGTTCTCTGACCTCCACACATGTGCCCCTATATAAAAATAAATAAATGTAATAAAACAAAACAAAAAAACCCAACCCTTATTCTCATGGACTGGCAATTCATGTACCTATAAGGCTTGGCTGGTAAGATCCCTAAATTTAGTGGCTCCAACTTCAAAGTTCTCCAACTTCACAGGGAGATAAAAGCATAGGATTTTCTTTTGCGCAAAGTAGGAAACAAGGTCATACCCTGCCTCACATTCCCCACAGCTATCAAAAGGGTCTTTCTTGGCTTATTTCTCAGCATCTGGTGGGCTTGCTTCCCACCCCGAGGTCACAGCTCCCTCAGGTTCCTGTTTAGATACATGACCTTCAGTTATGGAGCTCTTGCATAGACATAGGAAAAAAAAGCACCTTCCTTTCCTGCCTCTTTACAGAGAGGGTTGGGGTGAGGGAAGGAGGATTGAGGTAGGAAAGAGAGTTCCTTCTAGCAGAACTCTGTGACCTTTAAATTCCCAGCAGAAACACAATTGTAGGCAGAATCGACTCAGAGCATTGAGACACCTCTCCGAAGCCACCATATATGCCCCTCTTGGGGTGGGGAGCAAGATTTTAGAAATTCTTCAGCCTATTGGCCTGATGAGTCCTCTTGGACTTCCAAATGCAAGCTTGGTTCTAGGATACCCTCTACATGGCCTCTTAGCCCTAAGTCCAGGGGTTTCTGGAATATTCTGGACAGGCAGACTTTTCCTTTGGTAGGGGTGACAAAGTCCACTGGCTTCCACATTCCCCTCTTTTTGCATGCAGTTGCTCTGGTGCCGTGGCAGCTCGTGCTGTGTGCTGAATGCTGTGCCATTGATTATCCCGGAGAAACACGCAGTTATGGTGTCAGGTGATTACTGTTTAGTCACAAACTCAGAGCTCCAAGCTGGAGCACGTTTATCTTTAGGACAAGATGAGGCAGAATGCCCAAGCCATCCCCGGCTAAACTTCAGCGGTTATTCTTTTCCCTAAGACATTATCGGGTCAAAGTAACTTATTAAGCACTCATTTGAAAATAAATTTGTATTTTATGAATCACA